AACGCAGCCGAAAAGTTATCGAACCGCATCGCTGGAGCAATCAGCGCATCAGAAACAAAGTTGATGCTTCGTTTGTTATTGGTTAGCATTGGTGTTTTAGAAATGGAAAATTCAGAAAAATTGTTCATTGCTATATTGAATATTTAAAATATGCAATGTATATGGTTGCAATGTGTCGCAACTCTGCATATACAAACAGTTTGAATACCGCAGTATAACAGTATCCAAACATTGTATTGATACGTTTTGGAAGTCAGCCATACATACGAATACGAATACATAAAGATGTTGATGACACAAGGAGTTCATACCAACGGTAAATGTTGTTTTTGTACGATTGCTACAACCTGTAGTTATTGAATCATGGCAGGCTATGTATGTACATGTGCAAATGAATTTTATGTACTATACTAGATGTACATATTTATGTATAATGAGCGATAACTGGTGTTTTAATATACAAAGACTGGCTTCTGTTAAAGTGCTGGGCCGCAGTTTTGTAAATGCAGCAAGCGATTTCCGTGCAAAGTGTTTGGAGACAATGGCCTGCTACGCAATGTTAGCGCTCTGGGAAACAGCTCCTTGCAATCTCGAATGCAATTTCCGCAGAGGTGTGAAAATTTACGGGATTTTAATTCCAATAGAATCCCGTGCCCGACGTTGGGCGCCAAAATGTGTGATCAAGAGCCTTTTCTTGATACGTAAACTGCTTTAAAGTTGCAGGGGTGAAAACCTTGAAATTAAAACACGGACCGTCTAGTTTCGCTGTCCAAATTCAACTGTTTTACAGTGTTACCAACCTCTCAGAAAGTTTCCCGCCAAATATATTTGAAAACCCCCTAAAATTTGCCTAAAATCAACAAAAATCCCCTAAAAAACACATTTGATAGCGCATAGAAAAATTCATTTATTAAACAATATAATATAATTTTATATACATATGTGCATATACTGCAATTAAACGACTTCAGTTTTTTTACTTATACATATGTATGTATGTACATATTTAAAGCACATTAATTTCTAACTCTTTTAAAATTTCAAACAAGTCGTCAGCTTCTCGTTGATCAGCTGCGTTATTATTTTTGAAATCGTACATTTTTACATGGAATAATTTCAGCATTTTAGAAGACGGATTAAATTTAACACATGAACTGCAGTCTCTCTGTAAGCTGAATCTTACCATCATTAAACTTTGGAGCAAATCAAGAGATGATCTATTTCTCAATTTATTTTTAACGATACCATAAGTCGAAAATGCACGTTCTACACTTGCATTTGAAATTGGGGCAGTTAGTAAGGCGAAAGCAAACTTTGCAATATTTTTAAAACGTTAATGTTCTGCAGAATCGCAATCATCGTAAACTTCTGCATAGAAATGAATTGAATTATATAAGATTATACCATCCCTGGGATTCAGTAATTCAGTCTCATCTCAAGTCACTAAATTTGAGATTAGCAATTAGTGACTATTTTTGTGACTTGAGACGATTTGGGTATTCAGAAGGAGAGTCACAAAAAGTTCACCAAAAATGTGTTGTGAAAGCAATCACAATCAACTAATAGTTTTTATTTCCTTTTTGGTTGTTGTTGTTTCCGACAGGGTGGGTGTATGATGTATTATGGAACGAATTTCCGTCATCCCTTGTCAAATTTGGTTTGGAGACAAACCGGTTTCGGCGTTGTGCCATCTTCAGTGTCATTTTTCGTTCTGCATAATTTTTGTTAGTTGCTCGTATTTATACTCCTTGTTAACTACCTCTTTCTTTGCAGTGTTTGCGGTACTCAATAGGTAGATGAATTGTTTTGGCTCGTTTTTGACGGCAGGTAGAAGTCCGTGATTTTTACCCACTTTGTTTTTGCAGTCGGTGTATTCCCTTCCATATCTGTCCTTAATATTTTCTTGTTGTCATTCTTCTTCTTGTACAGTAGTTTTAGAGGTTCAAACAGTACGTCCGATGCAGTATTTATTTGCTCATTTATTATTTGTCCTTTGAAGGTCTTCTGTTTATATATTTCCATATTTTCTAATATATTCAATCTTTGTCCTTTATGTTGTACACGGAGAAGTTCTGTTGTTTGTCCAATCTTCATTGGTGTGCATTTATTTTTGATCATGTGATTCGCGAAGTTCGATTCTATTGCAGCCTCTGGTTTTCGTTTTTTCTTATTATAATCCCTTATGTGTTCTCGATACCTTGTTCTTATATTTCGCCCTGTTTGTCCTATGTAACTGTGTCGGCACTCACAGGTTAACTTGTAAACACCCTGTTTATCTAGCGGGTCTTCCTCGCTTATTTTCTCTTTCAATATATTTCCCACTGTGTTCCTTGTTTTAAATGATGTCTGAATGTCGTACTTATGAAAGAATTTGGCAAGTTTGTAAGATGTCTTTCCTGTGTAAGTTAGAGCTGCCCAAGTTTTTTTATTGTTTTTCTCTTTGCTAGTCTTTTTCGATTTTGTGTCCTTTCTTAACTTCTCCACCAGGCCTCTCCTATATCCGTTATTTTCCGCAATGGCATATATTGTATCCAGTTCCTTCTTGTAGCATTCTTCTGTTAGAGGGGTCCTTTCAAGCCTCGTTATTAGTTGTTTAAATGCTGCATTTTTGTGTTGCTGTGGGTGGTTTGAGCTATTGTGTATAAATGTGTCTGTGGCTGTTGGTTTTCTGTATATTTCGAACTCTATCTTGTTCGTGGTATCGTTTATTTTAATTGTTAAATCCAGATAGTTAATCTTTCTTTCCTCTTCCGTTTCCATGGTGAATTTTATATTTTGGTGTTGTTTGTTGAGATAGTCTAGTATCTGTTTCTCTTTGTTTCCCTCTATTAGACATATTACATCATCGACATATCTCGCGTAGAATTTTACTCCTAGGTTGGTCGATAGGTTTTTCATGTATTTCTCCTCCAGTGTTTGCATGAATACTTCCATGAGTATTGCTGACGTCGGATTGCCCATTCCTAACCCGTTAATCTGTTTATATATCTTATTGTTGAACCGGAAGTAGTTTTGTTTTAATGTGACCTTCAACGCGTTTATTATTTCCGTGACAGCTTCTCTTTTCATTTTTCCCATCAGTATTTCTTGTACGGTCTTTATGGTTTCTATTGTTGGTATCGATGGGTAAAGGTCCTTGATGTCGAATGATACGAATTTAGTGTTTTCGTTGATCTTCAACGATTTCATCTTCTCGATTAGTTCCGTTGTATTTGTAATAGTATATTTATTGCGTAGATCCAGACTATCCTTCAGCAGCGTCTTTAGGTGCTTGGAGAGTCTGTATCCGGGAGCAGACTTGTAATTAATGATAGGTCTCATCGGGGTGCCTGGTTTGTGTGTCTTCGGCAAGGCAATCAACGGAGGGACACTCGGGTTCATAAGCGTTAGTCTATATGGTAGATTATCCTTTATTATGGTTGTGCTTTTCTTTATGGTATTCTTTATTGCTGCTTGGTATTCTTCAGTGGGATCTTTTCCCAATTTATTGCACCCTATTTCAGTTATTAGACTTTCAGTTTTCTCTATGTAATCTTTTTTATCAATTAATACGGTGGTAT